TTGAAATTTTTAACTTTAAAAATAAATTTGTGTTAGTATTTAACATCTGGAGCTATTTTTTTCTGCATACGCTTCAAAATTAATTGATTTAAAATTTTTTTACTACAAAAAAACTGCAGTTCAAAAACACTGAAAAGGAAATGTTTTGCAAAAATTACAAAGTCATAAAGTGCATGAATTTGTATTCTAATCGGAGTAGCATTTACGTTTTGCGTTTCACTTGGCAGTCAGCAAAACGGTGATTGGTGTACGTACAACTTGGGAGGTTTTTTTTTTACGGTCAGGCCAAGACAAAGTCTTGTCAGCCTGTGCCGTCTGTACATTGGGAAAATACTATGATCAATGTGCGTTTGGCATGTTCAAAACAGCGTTTGTGGTTACAATTGTATCCTTTAGGTATAGGCAAGAATGCAGAAATCAAAGGGAACGTTTTTAAGACAGCCCTCAATAAGGAAAGCAAACCCCATCATCAATCCAGTGGACATCATCGAGGCACCCTGCTCAAGACCAGCCAGTAAAAGGTCACTGGGTTTTATTTCTATTTATTATTTATTTTTTTTGATTTTGGATTTGGAAACTAAGCATTACTATTTAATAAGCAAGTTAAAATTTCATTTGTTTTAAGAGAGAACAAAATTAAATCACTTAGTTTGCTAAACAAAACCTGACGTGAATTTGCAAGTGTTGCAATTCTTTGGTGCGCAGAGATTTTAGAAACAAAAGTGTCGCGCTCACTTGCGCGTGCTTTTCAGTCTTTTTCTTTTGCACTCTATGACGAGAAGCCGTGCAGTGCAAGGTTGGACGCACTTGTTCTTCTCAGCGATATGGCAATAAGAAGTGCATGCGACACTTAAATCTTCTTTTCCAGTGCTTGACCTGGATTTTTCCTCGCTCGTGGCGAGCGAAGAGAGGTTGCAACCTATTCTACGATTAAGATCTTTTTTTCTCTCTTTCCCTCGCTGGCTGCTCTGCAAACTGCACCCCTTAGTACGTCAAGGGTGCTGCATTTTGTTTCACGGAGTCAATGGAAAAATCAATTTGTGGTTCTCATACGGGAGGTTAAAATGCAGTGACTCGAGCCGGCGGTTTAGGGTAAACTCGCGGCCCGATGGCAACTTTTCAAACAACGCTCAAGACTGCAGAATGATAAATGCGTTTAATGTCATTATATTTATCTTGTTTTTCTGTAGGGAGGGATGGGATATGTGCTGAGGAAATCAGATTACACCCTGCGTATTTCTTTCTCCTTCGGGAGTTATTTTAAGTAAAAAAAGTATGCAACTAAAAAAAAGTAAACAGATCTGTTCTTTTTTAAATTTAATGTGGTTTTGATCAAAGATACAGAAACTTAATATTTTTTTAATTTGTTTCAAAATATCGCTGGCTTAGTATTCCATTTATCAAAACAATAAAATTAAAAATTATCAAAATTTTATTTGATGGACCTAAATTGAATTTTTTTAATTTATCTCAATTCAGCTTTTTCTAAGTTTGCCTAAATTGGCTAATTATTTTTCACCCTAATTTAGCTTTTTCTAGTTTAAGGTAGATTGAATTTTTCTAATTCATCTCTAATTAACTTTTTCAGATTTGCAATAATTTAATTTTTTAAATATTTAATTAGGGTTTTTTCTAATTTATCTCAATATGGATTTTTCTAATTTTTCCTAAATCAGCTTATTCTTTTTCACCTTATTTTAGCTTTATCAGAATTATAAATTAATTTTTTCTAATTTATCATTATTTGCTTTTCAAATATTCAATTAGATATTTTTTTAATTCATCTTAAATCAGCTTTTTCTAATTTTTCGACATTGGCTTGTTCTTTTATGCCTTAATTTACCTTTTTCAAATTTATTAAATATTCACTTTTTCTGATTTAAGGTAATTTTTCCTAATTCATCTGAAAATATTTTTTTTCCGATTTATACATTTATCTAGAAATATTCAGATTTTGTATGAACATCTTTTAAACTAGAAATATTTGTGTAGCTCAAAGTTTCTGAAAATTTTCAAATAAAGACCCCTTTTCCATCGCGGTGAGCCTTATACACACTAAATTATTTTTGTTTTTCAATTTATTTTATAATACCATCAATATTTTAAATTGTATATTCTTATAATATTTTTTGAAATGTTGCGAGTTTTAAAGCTCAATAAAGTACATATACATTTTTTTTTTTTTTTCAATTCTTTAAGGAAAAGCAATAATGTATAACGGTGAAAGTGGTGAATAATTTTTTTCCTAATTTTTCAAGCTGAATATTATCTCAGAGCTGATGCTGATATGAGCTACAACAAGTTATTCTCGCCTGTTTTACATATTTTTTATAGTTGTTGCAACTCTTCAATTATTCTGAAACACCGCAATAGTAAATGAGCTAAAATTAGATTTTTTTTTCGAGGCTGCTGTCGTAATCATAATTTTAATCATGTTCGGTTTAAATGTACGCATAATTAATTAAGCTTATGTAAGCTTTAGAAAAATGACACGAATACTGCTTCGAGGGAGAATGAAGAGTCGTTTGCTGTTTTATTTTTGCTGAGCGGCTAACAACTCTCCCTCTCCATACATAAATAAGGCGGCGCTTTTCTCTGTTTACATAATACATTATTTTATGTACTTATGTTTCCATCCAAGTTTGATGCACCAGGACACAATAATGATACCCGCACGACGTTATTTATGTAACTGCGCCGCTGCCATCAACAAACTCGAAGAAACCCTTCATTACGCATCGTTATCGGGAGAAAAATGGACGCCAATAAACAGGGTGAGTGCTCATTATGAGCCTGCGTCGTTAAAATAACGTAAATTGATCCTGTGCCATTAAAGACTGCCGGAGCTTGTTTGTGTCTGATATTATATTATATACACTGGCGAAATGCGGCACGAGGCAGAAAAGTAAAATGGAAAATATCGGAAAATACTGCAAGCCTCATTTTAATTATTCATGCACGATTATTCTCATTTTAAATGTTATATTCCACTTAAGATTTAAAAGCGTGTTCTAAAGAAATTAATTACTATTAATAATCAATAATAATAGTATTAGATAATATTTTATATTTATTGTTTAATATAAAAGAACAAATATTATTTTTATTTATAATCATGAATCCTGATGTTTATGTAATTCATTAATAAGAAACACTAATTAGTAAGTCAACTAATCGCATTTATTTCTTGAAATTTCGTTCCAACACGCGAGATATTATTTTGAAACAAACCGGACCAAAAAATTAAGAATAACCTTTTCTGCTCATTTTTCCAATATTATTTTTTTCGTATGACTAGAGTAGAATAAATAATAATGAAATTAAATATTTTTGGTGTTATATTAATACAAATGGGGATATGCGCAACTCGAATAACAAAACACTTCAATTGCAACAAAAAACATATTTTGCTGTAGAATTTCACAATCGAGGGTTGATTCATGGTGATTTGAATTTAAAATCGGCTTTTACTCGATGGGTTTTATAAAAATTTATTTAGTAATTTTTTTTTTAAATTCATATAAAAAATTTTGTGTTAAAAATTGTTTTGTGCAAAAATGAAACATTTAAATAATTTCTTCACGAAAAATTGTTAATTTGTAAGACAAATATTTTTATAAAACTGATCGTTGTACTCATTTTTGTCAAAATAATTTCACAGCTCATGAATTATGGCTGAGCCCGCAGCCGAAACATGTAGAGCAGGATATTGTTTTTCTGAAACAATAAACAACTCATAAAAACCCATCGAGGAAAAGCCGATTTTAAATTCAAATCACCATGAAAATACTTTTAGTTTAAATTAAATAATGGGAATGGGGCACTAGTAACGTATTCTGCACTTCATTATCTGTCATTTGAGAAAATTTCAAGTTCCTATAGGTGTAACAGGGGAATGAAGATTTTTTTTTTAATTCCTTGAGAAGTACAATACATTAACTTTTAAATCTATATAATCAACTGAAATATATATCTTGTCTCATTGTATATTTAAATATTTCTAAATTGATCTCATTATTATAATTATTATTTTCTTTTTCTTTCTTTTTGGGTCAGACCAAGGCAAAGTGTCTTTTCGGCCTGTGCCCTTATTGAGCTTGCGGAAGGCAAGCTCCAATCTTAAATTATTTGGGTATTTTTTTTTTAATCTTTATTATCATCAATTAATCATCATTTATTAATTCGACACGAGATTTGTCGGTCGAAACGTTGACGAGTCTTGATGGTTTTGTTGGTAGATGCTATTGGAAAGAGAGGATTAACATGGAGTTATTAATTATTATTTCGTAATAACAATAAGAAAAGCCAATAATAATAATATAAAATGAAATTTGCTTGTTACCGCTTGTTATGGGAAAAATATCAATTAAAAATTGTTAAAAATTTCCTTTAATTTACTCTGCTCTTTTACCGCCCCAATTTATTCATCAATAATGTCTCCATTATAATTTTGTTTCGGTAAATTTTTTTTTTAGTTTAAATAATTATCAGCCGAGCCTCATGAATTTTAATTTTTTTTTTATATAATTAATTGCATTTATTTCCATCTGTAACATCAGCCGAACTAGGTGGCTAGTAGGCCAGAACGAAACGCGAGACTAAACAAACAGAATGGGATTTTTAAAAGGCAGCCGGGGAATTATAAAACGCGGACTGTAAAAAAAGAACAAAGCGCGTCTAGAGGTGGTGATAGACAGGTGCATCTCGGTGGACAGAGAGAGCGCGAGCCGCTGGCGGCCTCTGGTTGCAGTCGGGAATCGAATTCGGAATTTTTATGATCGCGACTCGCGCGAGAGAGAAGAGAATCTGCGTAGTCTATGAAGCGGCGAGCGCCCCACCACGGCCGGCACGGCTGCTGCTTTATCGGCTATTTTGACGGCAGCAAGGCCACGGCTGGCGGCGCGCGAGGGGAAGGGAGCCGTCGGGCGCCCCCTCCGCTCCAGACACCGAGCCGCCCGCCCTCCACGTCTCTCGTCTCGCCGCCTGGCGATGGCTGAATACGGCGGCCGCGGATTTTGCGCAGAAGCCGTGAGGGGGTGCGGCCGCCGATCGCTCGTCGCCGCCGCCGCCGCCGAGCAGCCGGCAGACATGTTGAGCGCGGCGCACAGACAACACGTGCCGGTGATGAAGTGCGTAGTATAGAAAGGAGCCAGAGGAGTGTAGAAGAAGGAGTTGAGGTGATTTTAACACTGAACGAGAGAACAATTGATCGCAGGATGATGGAGACGGTGGTGAACGGCGGCGGCGGCGGCGCCGCCGGCCTCGACAAGCAGCAGCACCACCGCATGTACAGCCCGCACCTGAAGAAGGTGCTCAAGACGTACCAGCTGACGGCGCAGCGCAGCCTGAAGGGCCCGGCCGGCGTGTCGGGCGAGACGGCCAAGGAGGCCTGCAAGGCGGCGGCGGCGACGGCGGCCGAGGACCAGGAGCCGCCGGCGGCGCCGGCGGCGCCGAAACAGCAACACCCGCCCGTGTTCTACACGCAGGACCGGGCGCGGAACTCGGAGTTGCAGGAGACGGTGCTCAGGGGCGCCAACATCTCGTGCTTCAACGTGGGGGGCGAGCTGCGGCTGTGTCTGCCGCAGGTGTTCAACTACGTGCTGAACGGTTTCCAGCCGCCGGACATCTACCAGCAGTGCGACGAGCTGCACATCCACTGCAACCGCTGCTCGCCCGAGCAGCTGGACGTGTTGAAGGGTTGCAAGAAGCTGCCCGAGACGGCCGTGTCGTGCGGCCTCATCACGCAGACGGACGCCGAGCGGCTGTGCGGCGCCCTGCTCAACTCGGCCAACGCCAGGTCGGCGCTGCCCTGCAAGCCGTCGGCGGCCCTCAGGGTGTACCACGAGTGCTTCGGCAAGTGCCACGGCCTGCTGACGCCGTCGCTCTTCGCCCACGACGAGTCCGAGTGCGTCGAGTGCTGTGAGTGCCAGCGCATGTACAGCCCGCAGGACTTCGTCACCCACGTGCACTCGGACCTCGAGAACAGCACGTGCCATTGGGGCTTCGACTCGGCCAAGTGGCGGGCCTACCTGCTGCTCGACGAGGACCAGGACAATTTCAAGGAGCGCAAGGACGTGCTCGTCCAGCTCAAGCAACGACGCGTCGTCAAGTACGACAAGCCGCACAAGCGCAAACAGGTAGGCATGACTTTTAAATTATAATCACGAAAAAAGCCCACAAGTTCATTATAATATTTGATATAAAGTTGATTCATTAGTTTTAGATTTTGATTAGAAAACTATTAAGAAAAATGGATGAAAAAATAATTAAATCTCAAAGAAAGTATAAAGTTGCTAAAATAGTTTAATTTCCATTGATTTTGTTGAGGCAGATTTTAATTAAAATATTACTTAAAAATTTTATGTCAAAATCAATGCTAAATTTTCAATTTTTAAGAATTCGGTACTTAATTAAGCAATAAATTATCATCACAAAACACTCTGGCTGATTTCAGCAGAGATTCGTTAAAATCTCTCTCATCTCTTCGTTTCCATTCAGAATTTCTTCCCGACTCAGGGTGGGTTCTGACGGGGGAGGTTTTTTTTTCTTTCTTCCTTTCTCTCGCCAACCTCCCACAGGGAGCAGGTGGATCGACCGCCGGTTTTTGTTATTTTAATGCTGGCGTCTGCGTCGCGTTACTTTTGTGTTTTTATACCTGAGGGAGCGACGTTGTAAATCCCTGAAGGGCTTTGCACACAAGGTCGGGGACGCGGCGACGAACAATAGACCCTGAGAGAGAGAAAAAGAGTAGCCGAGACGTATCAGCAGGTTGAGAGGAAAAAAAAGAGTCGACAAATATGAATCTGCACTAAAATTCTAAATCTATAGCGCAAGATAAATAAAAATGCAAGTTTTACAGCCCGAAATTATTTATTCAGTCCAAAGCAAGAAGTAAAATAAATAAAAATTGAAAGGAAAGAATTTTTTCAGGAGAGCATTTGTTTTAAAATGAAGATAACTATTATTTTGCTAGTGATTTGAATGGAATTTTTATATGTATTTTTTTAATCATTAAGTCCTTTCGGAAAATTCAGAAATTCTGGATCGTCAGGCGTAATAAGGAGCTTTAAATTGTAAAGAAAATCTGAGAAGAAAAAATTTGGAAAAGTTAAAAAACAGGTCCAAGCGGAGGAAGCAAAAAAAATTTATATCTTGTAATGATCTTGTAGTAACTTATTTTCAATTATATCAATGGAAACTTTTGAATATTAAGTTTACATTTAAATTCTGAAAAAGTCTGAAAGTTTGGATTGAATTGTAATTATAATTTTTTGTTTTATGTTGCAGTTAAAATGATTGAAAATTGAAACAAACCATTTAGAAATAAGAGCAGGAAAATATTTTGAATTATTCAATATTTTTTGGTAAAATTAGTTTTCTTTTCTTTTAACTTATTTAATTTTTATAATTAAATTTTACATTCAAAAATCAAATAGATTGATTTATTATTAATATTTTGAATATTTTAAAGGGTTGGTCTATCTTCAAAACTAACAATCCTTTTTTATTCCAACAAACTGAGCGTTCACTGCAGACTTTGAAAGTATTGATCGAAAGCCGCCGTGCTGCTCTCTCGCCAGCCAAGTTATATATTTTAGCCGCGGCTCTCTCACTCTATCGCCCGCGAGTTCACAATGTATGCGTGCCCCGTAGTGAATTATCCAAGGTCAAGGTCTCCAGAGGCGGCAAACAAAATATTTTCTGCCGATGGCCCGCCAGCCGCTCGCGCAAATTTCCGCTCCTCCTCCACGCCGTTTTAATTCGCCGCCGCGAGCCGAAATTCGCGGACGTTCGAACTATTTAATTGTCTCGCCTGTTATACGAACGAGAGAAATTTGTGGAATTTTTGTTCCTCTTTGGAAATTTTGAATAATCGTAAAAAATTAAAATATGCAATTTTCACAAAAATCTCAAATGGCAAAAAATAGAAATCGCAGATAAAAATTTTGAACAAAAAATAGAATTGCAAATAAATTCATCCATTTTATGAAATATAAATTTGTTTTTGTTTTTTCAAATATTATTCTTGTGACTTTTTTCACCATATTATTTTCATTTGATAACAAAAAGAGATAAAGAAAAAGTGAAAAAATATTTATTCAGGCGCCGGACAAAAACAAATTGAATTGTTAATTGGTTTTGTGCGGCGGTCGTGCGGCCGCGTGATAAGAGTGGCTGTCAAAATTTTTTATTGACTCGACGCCCGCCAAGTGTGGGGAGCAATGACACCGACACACTTATTATAAATCTCCTGTCGTACGTACTCGCCGCGACACACATGCATGCATGAATATTTGCATGCGACAAGAGAAATTTATATGAATCGGTCTGACTCGCGAGACAGACGAGTACAAATATAATATTTTGGCGCATGACTCGGGCGAATCAATTCCAAACGGGAAATAATGTGACACATTATGCAAATTAGCCGCATATATTTTCAAAAAAAAGAACGCTGACAGAGGACTGAAAATTGGTCTGTCGGACACAATAAATGTGTCGCATTTTCGCTTGACAGGCCCAAAAGCCGCATTTCATTTTTTATTTATAAATTCCATAAAAAAGGAAAAAAATTTCTCTGGTTATTTAAATTTTAACGTGCTCACAAATGTGAATTTATACTGGTTTTTACTTCATTTTTACATGCTCATGAGATATATCTTGTTTAATAATAATTTTTGATATATTAATTTATATTTTAAATTCTATTAAAAAAAATACATTTAATTTTATCAAACCTTCAATTTCGAAGAAAAATAAATACTGTGCCCTAGAAAATAATTTGTTTCAAGTGACTCGCATATATTTATGTTTGACACTAAATTTTTGTAATATTTATTTGATTTTGTAAAAAAAATATGGACAAAAAGTTAGAAATGCATTAAATTGTAATGTGTGATTTGATGAAAATTGACGCGCAGAATATAAGGAGCAGCTATATTAAAAATGATTAAAATGAGGGCCTGTCGCTCCCATTCATTCAGAGAAATGCGTCTTTTGAAAGGAATAATATAAAAACGAGCACACGTTCAGCACTGCTGCTGTTTGATATCAATGAAAAAAATTCGGCGGACAAAGCGAAATCAGTGGCACGTCTCCTGCTTTTGTGCCGACGTGAGAACAGCGTCGCGGTCAAAGGGGTGACTGGCAAAGGTCAGCTCCCCGCCAATAAAGGCCACCACCAGGGGAAGAAGCGGCTTTTCATTTAGATATTTACACGGCAGGCAGCACGATGAATAAATAAAAGAGTTTCATTAAATTTGCTCGATCATGCGAAAAGTCTTCTTCACAAATGCAGCGTGTTGGATTTCATTGTGTGCGCTGCTGTTTGTGTGCGTATTTGCTCGGAACCCTCACCAGACTGGCTGTCAGGGCATTTCACTCTAATCAACTTAATGAGCTTCTCAAAAACGTGCTCGCCGCGTTTTATTATATATTTGTGCAGAAGAAGAAACAACCCAATAAAAAGTAATATGCAATCGTTGAGATGTTCTTAAAAAAAAGGGTTCTGAATGCATTTTTTTCTTTTGTATATAGGGTCGTGGGGCTTTTGTCCCGCTGCAATTATGTGCAACTGAGTGAAAAATTCTCGCAGCGAGCGAATTCTTTCTTTCATTCTTTCTCTCTCTCTAAAAACCGCCACTCGCCACTTGGCTGTCAAGCTTCTATTTCAAGTATTATTTTTTCTTGCTTCCCTTTGCGTTGCTGCTGCAATCAAAACAAATAATAAGGAATGCCATGGTTTGTTTTGCGGCCAGTTGGCTTTTATTGTGATCTTTGCATTTTGGCAAATGTACTCTGCAAATAACGAGGACGCCCTCGATTTTCTCTCTCTCTCTTGATTTCGATGGCGCCGAGAGAGCCAAAAGCCTCTTTTTATTTTGTTTTGCGCACGAGATTAAATATGTGAATGATCCGTTATCGCGTCAGTTTTTTTACTGCCGCACAAAACGCGCACTTGGCGATTGACCTTGGCGCAGATTAATTCGGGGAATTATCGCAATTCGTTATCGTTAACGAGATCTTCTGCAGAAGCGAGAATCGGAGAATTGAATAAACCGGTCTGCTATATATTAAATTGATTTTTTTTTATTTGCAAGAGCTGTATTTAAATTGGGCTCATCAAAGGTTTCGGAATGTTCAAAAATAAATAAGTAAACAGCCAATTATTTCATCCATAAAACAAAATAAAATTTGTAACGAAATAACTAATTTTTCAGCTCTTAATTCTTAAATTATATTAATTATGGACTTTGGGAGGAGCGTCAATGTTATTAAATTTGAAAAAAATTGTTTTTTAATTACTAGAGAGAATAAAAAATATTAAAATTAGTTACTCTTTAATTAAACTCTATAATTAAAAATTTCAATTCCTATTTTAAAATGTAAAAGCTACCGTAAAAGTTTTGCTAATTAATTTTTAACCTTTGTTCAATAAATATTGTAAACTTTTCCTTCTCAAAATTCATATTTGTCAACTACAATTTTGAGAATTGCATGTGTTTTGCCGAAAAATGTAATCTTTTTATTTTTTTCAAACGCGCTCATTGGCTAATTACGTCATTTAATCAAGCAGCAAATCTCGCGAAGCACGTAAATGCCCCGCAGCACATGCAAAATGGGTACGGCACACGCGACCGCGCATACGATATATATCGGAAGAGCGATCCAAACTGCTGCGCAAAATGCAAACGACACCGCTGAGGCTGCCCATTTACTTTCCGCTTTTCAGAGCGAAATTTATTCTGCAAAAGCGCGCAAAATACGTGCCACGTGCAGTGTTGTTTTCTCCGTCGGCGACTCCAATTAACGTGAGAGGGAGGTATGAAAATGTTCTCACTTGAATAATAAAATATAAAAAGAAGGAAAAAAAATCCTGAGAGGGGAGACAAGAAAATGACGAAGAACCCCTCAGAAGGAAGAAGAGGCGCGAAACAAAAAACGCCGAAAAATACGAGATGATGAAAAATTTCATATTTTTCCTCTCTTTGAGACTTTTGAGAGAGAGCAAAAGTATATAATATTCTCGACTTTTGCGTTGTTGAAGGCGTTTCTCGAACGCATATTACCCAAGCGACTCGTGTCGTTTTAATTACACAGCAGCGACGACGACGAGCCAAGGCATGCAGAGTGCATT